GCCCTTCGGGGGGTGGTTCGAACGAGACGTTATTGATGCAGCCCGCGCTAGAGGAAAGTGGAGCAGATGGGGGTACTGTTGACAAAGGTCCCCTGTGGGATGGGGGAGATGATGATGCTGTGGCCGTGTAGGGACGACGCCGGCTATGCTGTATTCGTTGGTACGCGGCCGGCGGTCATTACCTTGTCGCCGTCGGCCCTGGGTTGAGGGTTAGCAACTTGGTTCGCCTACGTTTACACCCCACCGCTTTGGCCACTGCCGCCTTTCGGGGTGCAACGAAAGGGGGACAGCTGTGGCCTCGATTTTTCTGTGTTTTTGAGGCGGCATCCAACACGTACAATGTGACAACCAGGAGCGGACCGGTCATGAAGTTCCCGAGACTGACGCCGCCCCATCCGGCACCGTCCACCAGGGGCGCAACGATCTGCGCGACGAAGTCGGTCGTTGGCTCCTGGGGCGTCATCAGGCCGAATGTGAAGCTTGATGGTTCAATATTGCCGCGGAAGCGGATGTTCGTAACGACATCTGTGTACTTGCCGGCTTGCTCTCCCCTTGCGGAGATAGTTGCTGTCCCGGCTAGGAACAGCGCCCCTAGAGTGCTGAGAGGTGTTAGATATTGCATTTTTCTGCAGAGATGGTGTCGTTTTGGGAACATGGTTTGGTAGTTGATTACATCAAGGTGTTTAGGAAATTGTGGAGGCAAGCTACGCAGAGTTGGGGAAGGCCAGCTACCTAACCGGCTCGCTGCCAGCATCGTGTCACTGGTGACTCCTATCGACAAAGAGGGCTCTTGTTGTCGTGTCCTCCGTCCTGAGTTTGAGAGGTCACACGATGCTCGCTCCCAGGAGCCTACCGGTTACGGATGAACGCAGGTGGCCATGATCAAAAGCGTTCCTGTGAGAAACAAGAGCTGGGGCATCCTTGGGGGTCAAGCAACGAGTCTTGTCGACTTGAACTTCTTTAGTGAGTAGTATAATCGGTTCCATATTACTATCAATAGACCCGATATATGTAGATGTTGCAGTGACTGCTTTGGCTCAGTGAATCGTTCCCCTTGCCGGTGGTTGGACCGCCAGAGGAAGGTAGGTACCTCAGTCGGGGTCACTTGGCCCCCGGACCAGGCCGGATTAACCACTCCCGGTATGCTCAAACAGCAACCTGGCATGGAACCTCGATCATCTGAACAAAACAGTGTTCAACAAGAACCGCCACCATTACTATAGCCTGCATCAGGGGTCTGCATCTATCTACCAAAGTAGTTTCGGAATCTACTAGTAGATAGAAAGCAGTGCTTTCTATCCACTCTACTTGGCCGGCTGCCAAGCTTCTATCCACTCTACCAGACCCTCATCTACGTAGATTTAAAGTGGGTAGATTGCCAAGTGATTACTAATATTTCAGCACATACCCTTTCGAGCCCGCCTCAAGCACGCCCCAGCCACCACCGCCCAGAGCGGTACATATTCCGGCTTTTCCGCACTCTTTGCGCCACGTTGGCTGAGACAGCTCACGTGACTAGTCACATGTGCCCTGCCCGCATGCTTTGGCTCTGGCAACCCATCATGGAAGTTCCGGAGAAAAGAGAGCCATCATTGGATGGTTGATGTTCTGTTATTGATGGGGAAATAGCAGATAGCTCATAGTTCCGAGGAAATCAACAAGTTGACAGCGAACCGGTTAAACGCTCCGTGTATGCTTTAGCAACAGCTTTACTGAGCATTGGAACATCCAACACACAACGCCCAAACCATCAATACCTTGTGATAAAGGGGTGTCAAGAAAATGCAAAATATGATCCAACCGTGATTCGAGCCCGCGGCTCTAGAGGGTCTTCCCTCGGACGTTCTGGCCTCTACATCAGCCTCTCAGGTAGTACCGTAGCGCCACACCGAGATCTTGGCCAGAAGCGCTCTAGATACCTAGGTCAAGTCATCTTTAGTTTATCAAGCGTAGAGAATCGCGCTGAGTGTCTTTTCTGCCTCGTTGCCGTGTCCTGCGCGTGTCCTGCGCGTGTCTGCCGCTCAGCTGGTGGCGCGTGTTCGCAGGCAAAACAAGCCGATTTTTGACGCCTCGCCAGAGCACGATGGCTTTAAGCGCCAGAGATGATTCCATGTGGGGAAAATAGTCTCTAGATGAGATTAAGATGATTGATGTATGTTTCAATTCGGTCGAACCACTTTTGGGAGTGAGTTGTCTAGATGATGTATGTAATGGTCTACGATAATTAAAATCTTGATATAAACTTGTCCGTCTCCTGGTCTAAATTGACCTGAATCACTCGACGCGTCCCGGAGGAGACCATATTATACATCCTGCTAATATAAATTTTGCTGAATTTAATGATACTATTAGCTTCACTGTATCCCGACTTGTCGGAGAGTTCTTGCCAAAAGATTAGTCTCTAGATAATGGTTGCTTGGAAGGACTGACAGGAGGTTTACCCCGCGATAGGCGGGGTAATCGGTACACAGCAAACTTTCGTTACAAAGCAACTCCGTCACTAACAATTTTGAAGTCGAGGTCCTTCGATCCTAACAAGACCATTTCAATTTATTGCTCAGCAACGAATCGTGTCACCGGCGTCGGTTTGCCTTCATTCAGTTTGCAAAATTCAGGCGAGTCGAGCGCGAGCATTTTCCATGATAGTAGCTACTGAATCGCAGTCCTGATATGATGAGACTTAATGGTACGCCTCCTGCCGGTTTTCGAGCTGCTAATTGTGGGTTTCAACTTGTACTACCGCGGTCTCCAGTAACAGCAATCTCCCAAGAATCCTACCGCTCATGGACATTGACAGGGCTTCGTGAAGACGCGTTTGACCGCGTTCTTGCAAGCCAGTGAGCGTCAGCCAAAATCTACAATATAAAATTCCCTTTGCCCCCATCAATATGTCATCTTCCTTCTTCCTCCTCTCAGCAGACAAGCGAGATCGCATCCAGTTCTTTCTCGACTCACTTGAGCCCACTCCACCGAACATGAGCGACATGTCCCAGGACAGCCTGCGGTCATCCAGCCTCTCTGAGTCGCTGCTCTCCGATCCCATTGACCCCCCCTTGAGCGAGACCGGTACCACCCTGCCCTCGGAGGCTTCACAACGTCCTCAAACATGGGATGATGTCCCTCAAACCTACAAAGTCGGTGATGGTGGCGTGCATCTCATGCCAAGGATGGGCATCACAAGGGGTTGGTTCTGGGAATACGGATTCAGAGTTCGCAGGAAAGAAGACAACCCCAAGGTCATCCGTTGGCTCTGCAAGGCCTGTTCCTGTGCGAAGAGACCACCGAGAAACCCGTATACCCTCCTTGCCTCGAACCCCGAGAACATCTACAGGCACCTAGCAGTTCAACACAAGATCTTCTCAGAAGACCCTAGCCAAGCCGACAAGTACAGAAAGAAGCCGGCCCTCCACCATCAGTCCTCGATCGATACATTTACAAAGAAACGGAAAGTCGACGCAGCCTTTGAGCAAGATCAGATTGCTCGGTTCGACAAGATGAAGTTCCGACGGCTCATTGTCAACTGGCTTGTTGAAGCGAACTTGCCCTTCACCGCAGCCACCAGCCCAGCCCTTCAAGCTGCCTTCCACTACGCTAATGCGCGTCAAGTGGCGGCCCAACAAGCGATGCCGGACCCTCGGGCTGTCAGGAAGCAGATCTTGAGCGACTTTTACAAGTACAAGAGTCGTGTGACGGAGGCATTGGCACGGAGTCCTGGGCAGGTACACATTGCATTTGATGGATGGACCTCTCTTAACCGTCACGGCTTTTTGGCCATCAACGCTCAGTTTCTTGATGAGAACTTTGAGCCGAGGAAGGTCCTTCTCGATCTACCTCATGTGGAAGGGAATCACACCGGTGTCAATATGGGCTGCGCACGTCGAAGAGGTCCTTCCAGCAGTTTGGTATCACAACTACGTCGACTCAACTCGGCTACTTCACAGTTGACAACGCTTCCAACAACGATACGGCACTGGCAGAACTCGTGGCCCTTAAAGGACTTGAAGCTCGTGACGCCCCCGAAGATCCGAATTCGTTGCTTCGGCCACATTCTCAATCTGGTCGCTCGTGCCCTGTTGTACCCCAAAGAAGCACAACTCCCAGAGGATATCGACGAAGACGACTTTGATAGCTGGAGGAGATCTGGGCCAATTGGCCGCCTGCATAACCTCGTGGTCTGGATACCACCGGTCCCAGTTGGCAACCGACTTCCTACGCAACCCTCCAGAAAGAGGCCGGGCCGTACGAAGACTCTTGACGTGGTCGTTGACAACGTCGACACGGTGGCTTTCCCAATTCTACATGATGAAGCGGGTCACTCGAGCTGCGGCCGTTTATTGAGGAGCTTGTTGGTGAGGCCAGCTCACAGTTTGCAACCGGGCGATCTCAGTCACAGCGGCAGAGAGGCCCGCTCGCGGGGCTCCATGTGTTTGGCAAGAAACCTGCCTGTCTTGTGGACGATAACATCCTGACCAAGGATGACTGGAGCGCGATTCAATGGTTCTGCGCGATCCTGGAACATTTTGAGAAACGTCTCAAGATGTTGGAAGGGGATAACCAGCTCCGAGTTCGCCGGGGGGGCAGGACGACCCGACTCAGTGGCATTTGGGAGGTCTTCTCAGCGTTTGATCAGCTGCTTCACAAGCTTGAGAATGCTAAGGTTGAGGCAAAGTCTCGCCCAGCGCCGAGCTATTATCAAGGATGTGTCAACGCTGCTTGGGACAAACTTGATCAATACTGGTCCAAGATCGCCGAATCGCCTATCTACTACGCCGCCACCGTCCTTCACCCCGGATTTGGTCTGCAGTATCTCACCGGCGCCCTTCAGGATCAGCCAGAAAAAGGCCTTTCACGCATCGAGGCCATGGCCGCCAAGAAGAGAGGGCGTGAGTGGGCAGCTGAGGCCGAGAAGATGGTACGTGGTCTCTGGGAACAACAATATCGAGATCTTGACCCTGATCCTCGATGGGGTGTGTTATCTCCAGCCTCCCCAGATATGGACCACTCGGATCTCGACGAGGAAGAGCGAGCCATCCACCGCAAACGCAACCTCAGCACAATCAGCAGCGGGCCATCAACTACACAAGCGGTTGATGAACTGGATCGTTGGCTTCTCTCAGTCGAGGGGAGATACCTTTCTCCCAAGGCCGACCCGATTAAGTACTGGGTGGACCGCCGCTTCGAATATCCCCGACTGGCAAAGATGGCCTTTGACGTGCTCAACGTCCCTCCTATGGCAGCTGAGTGTGAGAGAACATTCTCAGCTGCTGGCTGCATGGTCACGCCACGACGGACACGCCTTGGAACTGACGTGATCTCTGCCGCTCAAACGATCAGATCGTGGGTGAAGGCCGGATTGATGGATGACTATGATGGAATCGCCCTCCGAGATGTCAGCATTGAGGCGCTTGAGGATGGAATATGCGGGCAAACTGAAGGTGAAGTAGCATGAGGTGGCCGACTCGTGGCTAGGTAGAAGTATGTTAGAAGTCATGGGTCCTGTTATCGGAACATCCTTACCCGCCCAAGCCTTGGCAATCTACCTAAATAGAATCTACATTGATAGAATAGCTTCCTATTCTATCAACTCTACCTCGGGTCGGCTGACTAATGTATCTATTCTATCTACTTTGGGGTCGCCGTGGGTAGAAGTGGATAGATGCAGAACCCTGGCCTGCATTCAGCGTGACTCTCCGGAAAGCAAGCGCTATTATGGCTTTCCTTTCCCACTTCCGCACGCAAATCATCTCTTGGTGGCAAAATACGCCTCTACCAGCCGGTACGTCCGCAGCCTTCCAATCTTGGAACGAATTCAATGAGCGCGCCAATCAATGGCGTGCCGTAGAGGCTGCACAAGAGGTACCACCGGATGGCAAAGCGAGACAGGGAGCCACCGACCGACCATACACCCTTGTGACCTGGAATGTGGACTACTCCTCCCCCCTTCCAGGCCAACGTCTCTCTGCCATTCTCTCGCATATTCTTTTGCTATCCCCGGCGGTCGACGTCATATTTCTCCAAGAACTCTCTCGCGAAGCTTTCCTGACCCTATTAAACGAGCCTAAAATTCGCCAGAGTTGGTTTCTCAGCGACGCAGACGCCATCCTTCCGGCTGGGCAATCATTCACAACTATCACCCTTCTCTCCAAGGCGCGCTTCCAGAGACCCGGCCGTCTCTGGCGAGTCAAGTATCAAAGCCGCTTCGAAAGGGATGCGCTCTGTTGCGACGTTTTCGCTCCAACAGCTTCCGATGAACCTGGTGAAGGTACCCGCATGCGACTTGTCAACGTGCACTTAGACTCTCTCCCTATCCAGACCTCCCTCCGGCCAAACCAAGTCTCTATCGTCGCTGTCCTGCTCAAGTGTGCAGGCCGGGGCCTTGTTGCGGGTGACTTCAACCCGGTCCTGCCCGCTGATAGCACCCTCGTTCAAGACAACGGCCTTGTGGATTCGTGGGCTGAGCTCCACCCCGGCGATCCCGGGTTCACCTGGGGTGTCGACGGGAAAGAGCCATTCCCACCGAATCGAATGGACAAGGTTGCTGTGGTTGGGCTGAGGGCAGAGGACATGGAGATACTACCACCGGGAAACCTAATGAGGAGAGAACAGGGGGGAGATTCTGGCCAAAATGTTGTGGCTTGGAGCGACCATTCCGGCCTGAGATGTTCATTTAGGCTATTAGAGGAGCGCCATTGACGCAATATCCATATGGGGCCACCACGGTTCCGACTCTCACGTCGGAACCGCTACGGCCATGAATACAGCAGGAAGGCAAGGTTGGCGGATGATGCTTGTCAACTTCGCAGAATGCATGTAATTATGGACATTGATTCGGGCCTCGCGAAATGTACGTGATGTACACTTCGGCTATTTTAACACGAACAACAATAAACGGAAGCTTGTTCTAGTGATTAACCACAACTCGGAGAAATGTGGCGTCCAAAAACATGTTTTACAGTCGAGGTTGGCAATCTTCTCTTACCTTTCCGGCTTCAGGGGCACTGTTCCACGAACAAACGAATAGTACCCTTGGGCTTGGTTGGGGCTACCGTACTCATCCCTAACATTTCCATCTCTAGTGTAATGGCCGGCGATTTGGTTGCTAGCCTACCACTTGTCTGTCGACTTGGTCGTGAGCATTCCACGCGTGGTCGGGAGATCGGCCGAGTAGAATGTGAGCTGTAATCCCGCTGCCAGCCCGGTGTCCCTCGGACTTGTCTGTCACGTAGTCACGTAGATGATGCCATTTTGATCATCTGTTAGGTAGGCCGGCCACGTAGAAGAGCCCTACTTGGACCGAGTTGTTTGCTCCTCGTTTCCGCCGGGCATACGTTGAACGGTCTGGACATGGCAGAGTTCAAGTTATTATCGCTATAAGTGGGAGTGACAAGGGTTGGCATTCATATATCCGTGGAGGCGTATTCAGGGGGTGACTCTTGGTTTCATAGTCGGGGACACCTTGGGCTGTCATGCTGTGCTGTTGATGCCTACCCGAGGGGCATGCCGACCCCTTGGCTACCTAGGTACACACACGTACATGTATCGTCCGCCGGGGCATTCTCAGGCAACAAGAGATGTGCCAAATGCAGGGGTACTCCATGGCGCAGGAATTGTTCAAAAGCATCTGCAGCCTCCCCCACTATGTCCTCATCCGTAACAGGGTGAATACCGGTAATTAAGCCCAGACACCACACGCCCCCAAAGTGAGTGCCAGCAGGGAGCAACGGAACTAGAGGATGAATCCACCAGCTCCCGCCAGAGTTGTCGCTCAGAAAGGTCGGATTCACAGATCATGTATGTTGTTGATGTAGGCCAGTTGATGAACAACCACACAGAACCACGCCGACGGCCCCCAAAGAGCTAAAGGCGTCACGATCGGGGAGTTTCGTCCGTGCCAGGGGTATGGGAACCCTTGGATACGGTTGTTGTCCGCCTGGAGGTGCAGGACCCTTGCCTACTGATGTTGCTCGTTGTGGGCTGTGCAACCCCGTGGCTATTGTTGTTGTCCGTTCGGGGGCGTGGAACCCCTTGGCAAATGCGGCATTCACATCATGAGGGGCCGAGGGCGAACTAACGATAGTATATTTGTCCTAGACTTGCTTTCGCATTGTCCGAGGACCGACTATAGTACATGTACAAACAAACAAGAAGCGAGGCAGTCCAAGCAAAAAAAAAAAAAAAAAAGAAAACAAGAAAAACAGCAAAAATTCAAATGTAGTCCTCGTACCCGTGCTTGACCGCCAAACCGGCCAAGCGATCCAGGCACGAAGCGGCATCTCGACCGGGCAGGAACTAAACGACATCCCTCGTCAGCAATCACTCATACAAGCAATCCACCCCCCCAGAGCCAGAGCCAGAGCCAACTGCAACCACAGCCAGCCAGCCAGCCAGCCTCCCAGGAGGCAACCAAAGCCCAACCCAGCAAATCACAGGGCAAGATCAGAACAGTAACTCACCTCGCGCATATCCTCATACTCCACCTCCTTACACCGCAGCAACAACAACTTCACCGTCTCCTCGTGGGTCCACGCGCCCCGGCTCACGCGGTCGGCCAGCTCGGCGGCGGCGGCGGCGGCCTCGGCCTGGCGCACGCGTGGCGTGCTGGGCCGCGACGTCGGCAGCGGCGTGCGCTTGCTGCTGCTGCTGCTGCCGCCGCTGTTGGCGATGGTGCCCGTGGTGGTGGTGTACGGGGTGGACCTTTTGGTGGGGGTGGTTACGGCCCAGGGGGTGGCGGGGTTGGTGATGGTGGTGGTGGTGGTGGTGGTGGTGGTGGGTGCGGATGTGGTGGGCGTGTGGATGGCGGGTTGTTTGCCCTTGTTGATTTTGGTGGGCGTGCTGGGGTGGGAGGACGAAGAAGCCGCCTTGTCGGTTCCTTGGGTTTTTGGGCTGTCCGCTGCGCTGGGGCTGTAAGCCGGGAGCTTTCCGACTGCCACTGACGAGCCCGCTAGAGGGGAGTCGATGTCCATGTTGTCGCCCGCCTCATCGACATCGTCAGCCTCGTCGACATCATCCTCGATCGTGATTACGCCCTGGGCGTGGCTGGACTCGGCCGCTTCCAGCACTCCCATAGCAGCCCTGGCAATTTGCGCGGCATTGATGGGCGTGAAGCGGGTGGTTCGGGTAATGCGCAGCTTCAGTGGGAGTCTCTGGAGCGCTTTTCTGTGACAGACTGGTTGCGGGCATCGATGTGCATGAAGCGATGGGCAGTGTTAGCGGGAACCTGTTGAGCGCCCTCTGCGACAGGCTGCTTGTGGGCATCAATGGGTGTGAAGCGGGCGGCCGGATAATGAACAGCGTCAGTGGGAGCGTCTTCAGCGCCCTCCACGACAGGCTGCTTGTGGGCATCGATGGGCTTGAAGGGGGTGGCCGCGGAGCGGGTGGCTGGATAATTGGCAGTGCCCGTGGGAATCTCTTGAACACCCTCCACGACAGACTGCTTGGCGGCATCCTCCTGCTTCACACCCTCGTTCTTCTTGCCCTTAGAATGGCAAGCGTCAGGATCACCCACACGCTGAAAGGTCAGGCTCTTGCACGGGATAAGTTGAGTTCTGGCCCTCTCGGGCTCTGTGTGGATCCAAAGACCGGCGAGCTCTTCCTGCTTGCTGTCGCAGAAGTCAACCCGACGAAGACTGCCGGGCACCAGCTGATCCAAGCATCCCATGCACTGGCAGTGACCGATAATTGCTTTACACATGATGTTGATGTGTAATTGATGTGTAGTCGATGATTGTTTTATGGGAATTGTTGAAGTTGTGGATTGAAAGGGTCGGAATACTCGAAGCTGGTGGAAGAAGTGGGAAGAGGCGGGAAGAGTTAGAACGTGGAAATCCCAGAGTCGGTGGGAAGAAAGACACGGTCAAGTGGGAGTCCGAGTGCAAGGCAATTCTCAGTGAAAGAATTGAAAGGTCAAATGGCAGGGCAGTCTGAGCGTGAGGTGGCTGAAAAGCTTTCGATCAGGTCAAGTGACAGACCAAGGGCGACAAGACGAACAAGTGGGAGAGGGGGAGCCTGACGTGGAAGAGGGGAGGCGAACGCGTTGACTTGGAAGAGGAGAAGTCGAGAGACCGGTGTCGAAAGCAAAGCTATTAAATAAACAAAGCTATTGAATAAACAGGAAGGAAAGCAGTGCGTAACTCCCGGTAACACTACCTTTGGCGTTGCCATCAAGATGGGACGAACAACATTACTAGTGACTTTGCGTGATGGCTAGCAACACCTATGGAAGGCGCACGGCCTTTGATCACATCACGCGTTTTATGAACGCGTTTTAGAATCACGCGTTGTTCAAATTGTGAACCCTAAGTACTGCTACTGGGCTGGGACTCGTGTCGTGACCATCGCGTTCAAAAAGACAGGAACTGTAGCAGACATCTACAGCTTTGTACTTATATCTTTAATCCATGTGACAACTCGACATGGAAACTTGACGTGGCAGCCCTTCTTCGAGATACAGACGGAAATTCAGTGTTGATAAAGGGGCCCGGAGTCATCCCCCATTGTGCTTTCGGGGCACTCCGGGGGTAATGTTGCCAACCTGCTTCCCCAGACGTGGTGGAGTGAATAATACTTCCATGAATAGAAAGGACTGTGAAATTAAAAGAGGAGTGACAGAATAGGCAAATCCTTTTATGCTACCGATTCAGAGGAAGGAATGGCTCTAGCTTTGGGCTACTTAAACTTGGCGTGGATGACTGGAAGGCTTGAAGCCTCAGGAGCTCCAAGAAAGAACTAGCTGTCTCTGGGTCACACGAACTTTTGGGACCTCAGAACTACCTCCCTACCCCGCTCAAGTCTAACTTTAAGTTTCCTTCTCGTTAGCGGTTAAAACAAACTTAAACATGTCAAGTCACTCCCAAGACAGCCACGATGCCTCACTACAAAGAATCAGAAAGACATCAATGCAGGCCAACATTCGGCAAAAGGAGCAACGAACATGTGGTTTTCTTCCTCCTTTATTGAAGAACCAGCTTCGAGCAGCCCGGGCGGGTGTCAGGCAACAACACATTTAGACAATTATCATATGCCATGGCAGACATGCACACGGTCACACACTACACTAGAGACGTCCATTGGTGATTCATGAATGTTACATTGCTCTGACCACTATCTGAGATCCAGAGAATCGTGTGCTACCCCGACCCCCGACGCGGCCCCAAACCCCCAACCTACGACCGCACAGCCAAAATGCGCTGCGCAGCCTGCTCAGCCACAATAACAATCATGGCCGACGGGTTGCCGGTCGACATGCCCGGGAAGATGGACGCATCCACCACGAACAAGTTATCGGTACCATAGACCTTGGTATCCAGATCCACAACGGCGGTACCACCGTTGCGGCCGTCGTCCGAGCCCAGCTTGGCGGTGCCCATCCAGTGGTTGGCGCGGCGGTTGGAGGGTCCGACGGCCAGGCCGTTGACGTAGTCCTCGACGGAGCCCTCGGGCGGGGGCAGGACCCAGGTGATGTTGGGGATGACGTTGAGCGCGTTCTGCACGTTCTTGATGCCCTGGATCACGGCCTTCGAGATCCGAGTCGTCGTGCAGGTAGGGGTGCTCCTTGACGACCGTGGCCAGGCCTTTCGGTGATGGTCATGCGGCCGCGCGAGACGACACCACGGCCGAGGTACTGGCTGAGGGTCATGGCGTCTGGGAGGGGAGGTGTTAGTGTCTGTGGGGGGTTGGGTGGTGGTAGGGGAGTGAATGCTTACGGCTGGAGTTGGTGAACTCGGTGCTGCCCTCGACGCGGGCAGTCCACTGGAACTGGCGGACCTTGCCGTCAGAAGGAGTAACCTCGTCCCACATCTGTTGATGTTGTCAGTAAAACGCGAGCGTCACTTTGCTAATCCTGGATAATGCTTACCATGGGGCCAATGTTGGGAGCAGCTTGGGCAAGAATGCCGGAGCGCTTGTCAAGGTAGGCCGCCTCGTCATCGGCGTTGGGGGTGTCCCAAGCTTCATAGAAGTCATAGAAGACGACATCGGGGTGGGTGAGGATAAGATCGGTGTTGAGGTGGTCCATCAGGTTGTAGCCGACGGGGAGGTCGATCCAGTCCTCCTTGGCAACGAAGGTCTCGCCGTCCTTGGAGCTGGCGACAACCTCAAGCTGGTCTTCGGGGCCGATACCGCTACGGAGGAGGAGCTTGGCCGAGCCGAAAGCACCAGCGGAGAAGATGACACCGCCCTTCTCATTAAGCTTGATGGTGCCGCTGTAGCCGCCATCAGTCAGGCACTCCAGCTCAACACCAGTGACCTTGCTGCCACTGCGAACGGCGCGGCGGACGGCAGTGTTGGTCCACAGGTCGAAGTTGTCACGGCCGTCAGCCGAAACGAGGTAGGTAGCCAGCGGGCCGTCTCTCTCGCCACCGGCAAACATGAAGTGGCTGTGGGCAAAGGTGTGGTTCTTGGAGTTGGGCTCGTCGTTGGCAACGACCGAGGTCCAGCCAGATTCGGCAAGGCCGCCGGAGAGGACCTCAAACCCTTCCTGGCGGTACAGCTCACCGTCAACCGACGGGTGCCAGGTACCCGGGATACGGCTGAAGACGCGCTCGGTCGCAGCGGAAACGTCACTAGAGTGCCAGCCATTGGGGAAGTTCTCGTCCCAGTCCAAGTGGTTGGGCTACCGGCGGGGTCAGCTTTTACATCATCGGCTCGGGATCAGGAGAAGCTCACCTTCCACCACAGACCAGCGTTGACAGCAGTGCCGCCACCCAGGACGCAACCGGCCATCTGGTCGGTATCAGTGCAGGCAATGCCGGCGGAGTCAACCCAGATCTGGTTGCACAGGCCCGGAACGTCAAAGCGGGTAAGGTCGGTGCCCTCAAGCCAGTCGGGCTTCATGGTTCCCTTCCAGCGGCCGGTCGAGGGGGGTCCCTTCTCGATAAGCAGAACCTTGTGGCCGGCCTCGCTGAGCTTGTCGGCAACGGGGATACCACCGGCACCACCGCCAACAACGATGTAATCATAGGTGGTCTCAGGCGCCGCCTTGCATTCGGCAATAGGGCCGCCGGAGCTGTGCGTAGAGTTAGCAACCCCCCAGCAGCGCTTTCACATTGGACTTTGTTAAACTCACCCATCGCAGGTGGTCTCCGGGGTGGTAGTGGCCAGAGCGGCCCACTCCTCATACGATTCCGAAGGAGCACCCTCGAGAGCGGCACCCCACTGTCCAAAGCCGTTGTCGTGGAAGCCGAAGGTGGCGGTATCCGGGCAGGAGGCGCCCTCAAGGCCGGTCTTGGCGGCGGCACGGCCGAGGACGAGGTTTCCGGCGGTGGTCGAGACGCTGCCAGTGGCGCCGTCCTGGTCCCAGGCGAAGCAGTTCTCGCAGCGGAAGAGCACCTCGAAACCGGTGTCGCTGACGGTGGACGAGATCTGGGTCAGCTTGGCGTCGCCCGTGTAGAGCGGCGGGAGGGTGTAGCCGGTGGCGTAGCGGAACGAGGTGTAGACGGTGCCCTCGCTGGCGTAGGCGACGAGCAGCAGCGCCTGCGACATCTGGCCGGACTGGCCGTGGGAGATGGCGCAGTATCCCGGGGCAGAGGCATCAGCAACCGCGCAGCGCTGTAATAAAGAGTGAGCAAGAATGTTCATGTTGCCATACACCATATCATATCAACGTACCAGGAGACCAATGTACTCAGTGGCATCCGTGGTCAAGGCGTCCGCAGGCAGGGCCATACCGAAGGTGAAGGCAGCTCCGGAGGTAGCCTCCCACGTGTTGAAGGTGATACCCGTCTTCTCATCGGTGTAGGTTCCGGCGGTCATTTGTGCGGCACATTGTTGCAGAGCTTTGAGACAGAGTTAGCAACCCGCTGTTTTTCTAAGCTTCTAGAAACCGCTCGAGACTTACACAACGACGCCGCCAGGGCGGTTGCCCCGATGCGCCTGGAGAACTTCATGGTTCCAATGCAGCCAAAGCTCAGAGACTGGTCCTGTAGGTCAGGCTGGGCCCAGAAAAGACAAGCACCTTCCCGATGTCTGGTGTCAGGGCAGGCGCGACGCCTAAATATCTTCTCTCGGTCTGCCCGAGCGGAGCATGACAAACCCCTGGCCTCCACTCGCGCATCTTCGAAGGTGTTGACGGAACGGCTCTCCGGGAAACGAAAGGGAGGGTCACCGAGAGGATGGATCCTGCGGAAGAATGACAAGCGGAGATGGGCCCAGATAGATTGGGCTGCAGGTCCCGAGTATAGCCTCCAACCAGAAGCATATGGGATCGGCGTGCTAGCCGCGCATGATTCATATTAAAGGGAGCGTGTAAATTGGGGAAGCAGGCGCGTGGTGGGCCTTCCCCAACTTTTCTCCAGGGGGGCTGGCCAAGCTGATTGACAGGGGCGGCACTACAGAGCCATGCTCGCCATGGAAGCAGACACAGGCAGCGTAGCACGCGGAAGCAAGCGCCGATGGGGAGATGCATCCCATGGCGCATGCCCGGCAACCTTGATGTTTCTCGCGGGGGTCCCTCCGAAGGCGAATCAGCGGCATGTCGATTCGCCAGCGCCACGAGGATACCAGCGCATGGTGATTCGCGGGGAAACAGAGCTGCTGCTGGCTCGGGGTCCTTGGGCGGAGGGTCCGCAGCGGGCCGGATGTAACCTTCGGGTGAGGCTTCAACGGTTCGAAGGGGCTCCAGAAGGGGAATGCGATTTTCGGTCGGGCTTCGACGTCGACTTGGACCCCATTGGTAGTTTGTCTTGTTCAGCTGCTCGGAGCTTGACGAGATACCCGGAGGTGCAATTTTAGGTTTGCCAACATCGAGAATTCACGATTCGAAGCTCTGTTTCGCGGCCTGTGGTTTTTGAAGGGGTCTTGTGCGCTGGAAGCGGTAATCTTCCCCCACTTTGGATAAAATCCCCGGTCATGCTCAATGCCGTTTTGCTGACTGACCCCTCCGTCTTCATCTATCCTGGAACTTCGCCCTCGCCTCGAAGGCGATTCTGCTCAGCAAATCAGCCTATACCCAATCAACTTGCGTATAGTAAGCAGCGGTCCGACGGCCCAGTCGTCACGTGTGCCGTTTTCGTTGGCTCGGTAGATGCTTAAATCATTGTTTGTTGCGTAAACATACAAGATGCAGGAGGATTTCAATGTAAGAGGACTCTCGGTTAGAGTTGAAGGAAACCCGCTTTTCCCCCGAGAAAACGGCGGGATGCAAGAACTGGAAGGGCCGAAACTCTCAGGCAGAGCGAACGGAAGTTAGGTCACAAGTGGCTTTGGAATGGAAAACGGGAAAATAAAATTGAAGGACATCGGGAAGTGGGCGAGGAGCAATAAGCACCGAGGTACTCAGAGATAATGTTCCTCGAACGTTTTCCATTTGCAATCAGGTTGAGTATTTTGTAATAGTGATGAGCCAACGAGTCTTTGCCAACCTGCCCTGGCTCTTGTCGAAGACTTCCGCGGATGCGCGGCCAGATGTTGGCTGGGCATGAAAATCTGGGGCCTGATTGATTAAGTAGAAGGTAAACAAGGAAGACAAATGGAAATCCAGACGGACGACAGAACAGTTTTCTTGGGTGGGGGTTGGTTGTTCCTTCCCGGTGTAGAAGCTTCAGTTTC